TTGCCTTCAGTTGTTATCCTTTTTGCAGCCATTTTACATTAGAAATGATGGCCTCAATCACTTTACATACCTGACACTGGAAGACATTTCAGATCTGCCATATTCTCAGACCTAACTGGAAGGATGCAATTCCATGATGTTCAAGGGCATTGAGTTTTGGGAGGGCATGCTATTATGGAGGAGAAATGGCTACACCAGAGCCCAATGTTGCATTGGTTCTGCAGCATACATCTACCTAAGGTTACATAGCTCAGAGCTCCATTTCATGGCATGATATTGATCTCCTTGTGAAGTTGAAGCCTCAATGCCACACTGTGTGAGGCAATAACATGTTGCTTCACTGAGCTTGATGTGAAAGATCAGGAGTACCATTACTAAAATTCTGTACTATTTCTGACACTCTCCACAGATAATCTGCTTGCTCGTCTGAGATGGAACTGGCACTTGGGAGATTCTTTGTGGCCTTGGTGAACATGAGATGATAACAATTACAATGTCATCAACAGGCCCAGCAAGGACAGAAAACTTCAGCAGCTGATACCCAGGGTCCAGAGGAAGAATTAGCAGTTGAAGATCCTCCCAGGAGGTGGGGGAAGAAATGACCAGACCTCGAATTTAATTGCCTTGTTGTCATTGTCTAAACTGTCAGAGAACCAGTGCAGCTGCAGACCAAGGATGTCCCAAGGCCGTTATCAATATGTCATCTGCTAAAGCAAGACTTACGCTAGGAAGGAATAGGTGACAAGTTCATTCTGGTGCTCATGAAGCTCACATCTACCCTGAATATTTGTATCAGCGGCTCTTTCCAAGAAGCAACTGCGGCATCTCCCAACTGTCAGCCCACAAATGCATCTTGGAAATCACAGATGCTACTTTCTGTAAGATTACACCAGTTCCCCTGTGCCCAGGCAAGTCAAGCAGCTTGGTCAGTGATTCTCCACCATCACTAGCTTCCTCCAGACACTGGACTCCACCCACATTGCTTTGAGAACATCGGATCACCAATCTGCAGAGTTCATTGACTGAAAAGGCTTCCGCACCAATGTCCAGCTCATCTGTGAGCATCTATGTCAGATTTTGGATGACTGCGCAGTTATTCTGGGAGTTGCAATATGCACATATATTGGAGAACTCTCATAATCCTGCAACCTTCTAAGTTTCTTGGAACAAATACGGACGGCTTCTGGGAGGTAAAGTCAAACTCCTCCAAACATGGTTGATGCCACCTTTGCAAAATCCTCAGGCTGATGCAGAATAGAGATGCAATGCCACCCATACTTCTACTAGGACCATAGTACAGCAAATCATGCATCTCCTTAAGATGAGGTTTGACTGCCTAGACTGCTCTGGTAGAGCATTGCAGTATAGCCTAGAAAGATGCGTACATCATTGTGGTATATTGTCCCTTTCGCAGCTAGAGATGACAATGTCGGCTGTTGTGTTTGGGGTGGGTGGTAATGTTCTGGACACAGATGAAATTAGGGAAAGCAATCCTCCAGGGACATCCAAGAGATCAAATTAGACCAATGCATTGTTGAATGTGAGGAGCCAAATGGAGCCTCCGTGAAACCTACTCCCAAAAGAAATGAGCTGGGTTTGGACTTCCATTCATTGTGTTGTGTAACTAATCTGTTCAGCACACTGTACATGTAAATCTAATTATTTACAGGTTCTCTTTACCATTTGAGAGACAGCAACATTGAGACAGTAGCATGCAATGGTGCTGAGGTTAGGCGGCTTTTCAAGCTTCAACCAGTGTCATCGATCATGATGGGCAACAGGTTGGGAGTGAGGAAGAGGCACCTCCTTTACAGCCTTCCATTAACAGTTTGCTTTCCTTTGGCATTTCAGAGTTTGTTTGGATTGTTAAATTGCCCGGAGATACTTGTGCATCCAGTAGGGCAGCACTAAACCTGAGAGGGGCAGCACCTTGTGCAGCTTCTGTTAGCAGGCACTGAGCTGTGAGCCTCCAAGGCTTGACTGGCACGGTGCTCCTTTGTAAAGCTGAAAGGAAGAATTTACCATAGCTGCAGAAACATGTGGAATCATCACAGACTCCATCCTTTCACTGAAAGGGTGGGTGTAAGTGGGGATGACTTGTGCAAGGCAGGCCCTACATAATACCCACTCATTAATGTGGACGACACTGAGGCTGCAAGCAAAATACAATGCCTTGTCTGCAATCATTAACATGACTGTTCAAGGATCCCTGATGTCTGGATGCTATCTGCAGTCAAGCAGTCAGTTGCTTGAGATGACCAACATTGACTCTGCCACTGCAACTTCGTTTAGCCCAGGGATGTCTGAAGAGGCTGCACATATATCAAATGTGTACAACTTCAGCAGGACTGACAGCCCTGAAGAGACCAGAACAGGCATTTTTAAGCGTATATGTGAAAAGAAAAGTGAAGGATTGTTGACAATGGAGTGTCATTTGTGCCACTTATGTTCCCTCAAAGTTTATTCCTTCCTTTCCGTCCCACCATGTTGATGTACAGTCCTGATATTGACAGTTGGTGTGGAAGGAGTCAGTTCTGTAGTTAGCCCTACTGGGTGGAAGACTTGGCTAAACATCCCCAGGGCTGTTTGAATTTAAATGGCCCAGGCCCATTGAGAATCACTTGTCCAAACACAGGCTCACTTTTCTCATCTTGGACTTTTGCAGGTTTTCAGTATCATACACAGGGATTAGGGCCTGGCAATTCCAAAGTGCCCTGAGAGGAGCTGTCTGTGGGGCTCTTCCTGTCCAGGCACTTGCTAACATACCTCGTTTCCCAGAGAGGAAGGGACACCCGGAGTGAGATCAAGATTCCTCTAACCTCTCCAGCCTAGCCTTTGATGCAGAGTACCATTGGCTACAGTGATGGGAGTACAGGCCTGTGTGAGCTGGACCTCTGTCTCCATGGCAGTCATGTGCATGTCAGAGTCAGCATGGAGTCATAATGTTGATGGACTCCTCCATTCTGTGATCCAGTTTACCGTCTGCCTCCGGCCACCTGCCTCCTGTCCTGGAGTTTCTCTGCATTTTGACAAGGTGGGGCGGGGGGCGGGGCAGTATGCTGGGAATAGCCTTGCCAGTGTATCCTGTGAGGGTTTAGTGGTTTCCACCTGAGGAGGTGGAGCTTGAACTGAGTGTATGTGGTGCTGGCCTCTTCTTCATTGTGGTTCATTGGGTCCCTTTAGAACCTGCACAAGAGAGGAAATTAGTTGTGAGAAAGAGGTAAAAGCGTCTTCGGACAAGAATGAGGTAGCACTGACATTAATGGCCGAGCAGCATTGCATAGCACAACAAAGTTGACGCAAGGCTCTCTCTTTTCTTTTTGTCTGGCCAACTGTAGCAATTTGTCCTCATGTACAATGGGAAACCTAAAGTCTGCCACCTCACTGCTGTCTTGACCGTGTCAGCCCAGTTTTTTTTCCTACAATGGTGCAGGAGGCCATTTAGCTCGACGTGCCAAAGACAGAGGGGGATTCAAAGTGATGGATTGAGATGGAAGAAGTGACACACGGTCAGGAGAGGTGGTGAGGTGTCCACAGTTACTGAGTAGAAAGTTCAGAGGGCAGAAAGGGTTAGCAGTTTGGGAAGATGGGGTGGGTGAATACTGTTGAGTGTACACACTGCATGCAATAGTGAGTATTACAGTCCGTGAGCCACGGTGAGAAGTGTTTGCACCGGCAGTGTTAGAATACGTAATGGTGACCCTGTGAGTGAAAGTTGGAGTGAAAATGGTGGTACTTACCTTCTCGCTGTAAAGAAGGTGATTAACCTTCTTCCTGCACTATCCAGTATTGCATTGAATCCACACAAATCCAGGCAGCAATCTCTATCCAGACTGGCTGTGTCTGGTGGTGTTGACTCTTTTGGCAGTCTGGAAGAAACAGCACTTCCCTTCTCTAGAATACCTTGTACCCAAGCACCTCCAGGTCTCTATCTGAAAAACAAGCGCCAGTTTATCTTTCTGGGCTATGTCTTCAGTAATGAGCGTAACAACAGCCTGTGAACGGCAGCACCTATCGGTGTCTGAAATGCTCTGAAACTGGGGTTTAAATAGGGTCCCAGCAGCTGGAATGCTGCAAAGTCCCAGCAGCAGCGAGCAGTTCTGCAACACGATTACTATGTAGGTTAGTTATGTAATGAATAAAGCATAGAATCACAGAAACCTTACAGTGCAGATAGAGGCCATGCAGCCCATCAAATGCGCACTGACCATCCGAAGAGCATATCACCCAGGGGTACTCTATTCCTATACTTACCATGGTCACACCACCTAACCTGTACATCCCTGCACACTACTGGGCAGCTTGGCATTGCCAACCCACCTAACCCACACATCTTTGGGCTGAGAGGAAACTACTGCGCCAGGTGAAAACCCTTGCAGATATGGGAAGAATGTATAAATTCCACACTGACCGCCAAGGCTGGAATCAAACCTGGGTCCCTAGCACTGTGAGAGCAGCTAACCAATATGCCACCATGAATGAGCTGAAGGGCTTATGACTGCATGAGAAAAATCTATATGGGCCCTGTTGGATTGCACATCACAGATATCTCCAAAAAACAAATACTTTGCCAAAAATTGAGAAAATTCAGTCAAAGGTCCTTTGCCAATTTAATATAAACATACTAACTTTTTTGTAAAAATGAAGTGTGTCAAAAAATGCAAGCTAATTCAATACATTAACTGGAATGAGAAGGTAGAATCCAAATAGGAAGTGAATGATGAAATACCGCTAATGTCAAAGTTCAAGTGTACACAAATTGAGTAACTTTGGATATTTTTTTCCTTCAATTATCACACATAAAAAGTATATTTTGTGAAACATGTTGTGAAAGCAAACTAATTTCAGTCTTGTAACTTTTGTCTGCATGAGTTTTGAGTCAGTGTGAACTGCTGGATGGTAGATTTGAGATCAACCTGCAACCAGCTGTCTGATTTCACACGATGTCTACAGATTCCTCAGTTTCAAAATAAACACCACAGAATTTTATTTGTGTCAGATGAGAAGCAGTTTTATTCTGGAATTACTCTACAGCAACAAACACAAGTGCAAATTTGACTGAAAACATGTACAAGCTAACACTAGCCAATCCCAAAATTTCATTCTGTTTTAACAGACTCCAGAATGACAGGACTTGAAACACCTTCTCTAAAGCACATTAAAATTCCACAGCATATACCGGGACACAGTATCTTATTTTGCCCCATTTTTTCCCTCATCACTTGTAAAAAGTTGAAGTAAAATATTTTTTTCAAAACTTTGTTGGAGTATCGTGGCAGGAAATTAAAATCATAAACCTCAGACCTTCATTTAATACCTGACTTTCACAAAGTTCCCACTAATTCCTGTTACACAGTATCCTGTATTGTTCAATAGAAGCTGTATTTTCAAAATGAAAAAATATGCAGCATTTTTTCAACATATTCAGATAATCTTAAAATACATCATTTTCTACAGCAAAAGATTAATTTACTTTCCAATGCATTTTACAGGCTCGTGAAAAAAAAGGTCTAATTTGTTTAAAATTTGTTAGACATTGTCCAGTTTGAGTACAATAATAAATATCTGCATGGACCCTTGGCAGCAGACTGCAGCATTTACAAAACATACTTTCAATTACAATTTTTGTTAGCTCTGACATACTGTCTATCCAGCTCTGTGAAACAAGGTACTGCCTCTCAACACCATCTGAGATTGCATTCTAAACTTTCATCATTCCTTCTTCAGTTAAAACGGACTTTTTAGATGTTAATTTGAACTAAAATTTGAGAATAAAATCTATTGAGATGACTTATAAATTCAGAGAAAATACTGTATGATTACAGTAATTCTGAATTGAAGTCAATAAATCTGAACAAAAAATACTCCAACTATATATATATTATATACGTTATATAATATACATATTTTAAAAGCACCTTCTTTCATATGCCCCTACTACTTAAATAGGCTTGCCAAATGAAGTAAACAGAAAACAGCGTACACCAAATGCTATTGTGACCCCCTCAGTACATCAAAACTCTACAAAGCGATTTGTTTGAAATCTTTTTAACCTAGCAATACATCAACAAACTTGCATCTGGCACTAAAACAAGGTCATAGCTTTGGGTTGTTATAGTAAGCTCTTCATGCTAATTTTTTTCAGAGATAAATCTAACAAGTATAACTGCTAACAGCTACCTTATTCTAAACAGTAACACCAAAAGGTGCAGAAACACAGATACTGTGAATAAAAGCATAACTTCAAGTATATAAGGGATAACACAACTCGCCACATAGGATATTATACTGTATCAAACAGCTGATCAAACAGAATATGAAAAGTAGGCATATACAGAAATCTAGCAAGGAACTGACACATTCTAATCAGATACATATCCTCAGCAGAGGAAATGCATCCTATTTAAAGTAGCTGCATGATAGTTTTGAGCAACTTCATTCCCATTTTCGTTACAACTTGTTTTGTAAAAATGCCAAACACCATGACCTTGTGAACAGGCACAATAACTTGGTGTTCATGTCATGCTTTGACATTAATACTCCTGCTGCTTACCGTACGAGACTGCTTTTCTTTCCTGAACTCAAAGTCCAGGATTCTTTACATATATTACTAGTTTCTGGACTTCAGCTTTTATTCCCAGGTAACACAGGTATGCAATAATTTATTTGTCTTGCAATAAATATTATCAATAGACATCTTCCCTCACCTATTTGGAAAAACTTGTTTAATATTGAATGAGTAACTAGGAATAAAGCATGTCAACTGCTTTCAGAGTTCTGATCCATTTCAACTCTGCCTGTAGCCATTAAACATTGTAAATGCATTTGTCATCAGTCCATGCGAGTAGAGCTGAGAAATAACATTGCTATGTGTGATGTACAGCAGTTGTACCCATTTAAAGCCAGAAACCTGGCATAATGGAAACAAAATTTTGTTTTTATTCACTACAGTCTTAGGACATGATCAATATTTAATTGAAAGGAATAAACACAATCCCACTTTGAGCCTGTGAAGGGCCAAAGTACATGCTACAAACAATTTAAATTGTGGACAGCAAAATCACAATCCTTGCTTGGCTAATGCAGCGGTAACATCATCGGCAAGTGTGGCCAGTTGTGGTGATTCCATTAGATTGATGCTGCCAGAAGATGAGACATTGCTCAGCCTATGAGGAGTTGTGGCACCAGATCGCCCTGGTGACTGAGTGATGATATCTGCTCCATGGTCCACACGAGCCTTGGCATTCTCACGAAAGCTAAGCTTATGACTTTCAATCTGTTAAGAAAACAAAGAGCAAATGCAGATCACTGGTGGAAATGATAAGGGCCAGAAGGAAAGAAATTATAATGTGACGTTCCGTGATACTATAGAGATTTTCATTTTGGTACAACATACATTATTATAGGATGATTTTTTTCTCAGGGTTCCCAGATGCCATGAATGCAGCCAAATTACCAAAATACACTCCTGGCATGCAAAACTGGGGGCGTTAATGATTAGGATGTACATTCAAGTTCAAATATCGAAATAGATCAAAATATATCTGTTGCCAAATCACAAGAAATTCTACAACACTTAAAGGCTTTAAGAAAGGAATTGCTTAGTGGTTTTGATGGTGGACTAGTAATCCTGAACCCCAAGTAATGTTTTGGTGGACCTGCGCTCAAATCACACCATGACAGATGATGGAACTACAATTAGAAGTGTTAACAATTACTTTGAAAACAGTGTCAATCGTCACAAAAACCTATCTGGTTTACTAATGTCCTTCAGGGAAGTATATCTGCCATCCTCTCCTGGTCTGGCCCTCATGTGACTCCAGACCCACAGCAAAGTGGTTGACACCACTGCCCTCTGAAATGGCCTACCAAGCTATTGCAGCAGTTGTATCAGCCACTAGAATATCTTCATAGAAAAGGAACCAACCAGACGCGCTGCCCGAATTTGATTGAGGCACTGGAAATTACAATGGCAAGCTTTGTCCTGTCAACCCTGCAAAGTCCTCTTGACCAGCATTTGGGGGCTAGTGGCAAAATTGGGATTGCTGTTTCACAGACTAGTCAATCAACAACCTGACAGTCCTATTCATGAATTCACACCTTACACAATGCCCCAAACACCATCACCACCATTTCTGGATATGTTTTGTCTCACCGACAGGACAGGTCCAGCAGAAATTGCAACAAAATGGAATACAATCAGGAGGGTGGTGCCCCGGGAGTCCTCAACACTGCTCCAGACCCCAAGACGACTCATGGCATCAAATCAAAATTGAGTGAGGAAAACTCCTGCTGATTAGCAGGTATATCCTCCTCTTCGGCTGATGAATCAGTCCTCCTCCATGGTGAGCAACACTTTGATGAAGCACCGAGGACGGCAAGGTCACAAAATGTACTCCGAGTACAGGACTTCAAGGTCCACCACCACCAGCGGTGGCTTGGCAGCTCTATTACTGACCGAGCTGGCTGAGTCCTAATGGACATAGTCGCTAGACTGGGTCTGCAGCAGGTGGCGAGGGAACCAAATGAGGGAATAACGTATTTGACTCCATCCTCATCCATCTGCTCGCCACAGATGCAGTGTCCATGATGGCATTGGTAAAAGTGATCACCACCCACTTTGCGTGGAGGTGAAGTCTCATCTTCACATTGAAAATATCCTATATCATTGAAAATATCCTATATACTATTACTGTGCTAAATGAGACACTTCAAAACGCAAGACTGCAGAAATGTTACAAAGTATTCATTCCATCAAGTAATAACCAAATTATGCCATTAACCATAACTTTTATTGCCCATTTCCATTCCTACCTTTACATTTCCACCGCCTGGAGTGTGACGTGTATTATCAAGTGAGCCAACCTTAGATTGAGCTTTTTCCTTAAAATCCAGTTTCTGACTTTCAATTCTAACATGCCCTCCACCTACACAAAGGTAATGAATTGTACTTTGAAATACATTGTAAATAAAATGAATAATAATGCTTGTGTCCAAGATCAGACAAGAAGTAATGAGCAACAGTCCATACCTGGCCGATAGTGAATGTTGCTGAAAGAGCCACACTTTGACGTGATATGACTCACATCTATTTTCTTAGTAACAATTTGCACCTGAAGAATATGAGAATAACGTTTAAGTTTCAACAGAAAGCCATTAATTAACCTTTGATGACTACAATCAAATGTTCAAGTATCAGATTACCATCCTTTTGATTTATTGAAAAAGTAATTTTAAAATATTCTGCAGTTACTTGTATTTGAATTGTACTTACAGACCAGTTAGTTTAAATTTGGAGTTAGGAAAATATCAAGTAACAATCTTTTGGCAAAACATTCATGGTTATGTGAAAAAGAAATTGTTTTAGTTTGGAAGAGTCAGCATGGATTTAAGGGAGATTCTTGTTTAACTTTTATTTTCCTCCCCCTGCAAGAGGTACAGAGAGCATCCATGAGAAACAAGGCTGTTTGTATGTTGGACTTTCAATACAGTGCCACTCAACAGACCAGTGTAGCAAATTATAAATTATTGGATAAAAAGGATAACTGATGTGGATACAAAATTAGCTGAGTGATAGGATATAGTGTTTTTGCAAACGATTACTTTTCAGGTTGCAGGAAGGCTTGTAGTGTGGTTCTCCAAGGGTCAGTATTGGCACCCCTGCTTTTCATATGTATTAATGATCTAGATGTTGGTAAAGGTTGCAGGTGTCAAAACTTCAAAAAACATCAAGATGGCAATGTAGAATTTCAAAAAGACATTGACAAGTTGATGAAGTGGGCAGACAGGCAACAGATGAAGTTCAATGCAGAGAAATGAGATGTGATACATTTTGGTACAAAAATCAAGGGGAGACACCACAAAATAAAGAGTGCAAATCTAAACAGTGTGCAGGAGCTGAGAGATCTGGATATCTACATGAATATATCATTAAAAGTAGGACAGTTAGAGTGAGTTTTTAAAAAAAACAAAGTAATCTAGGCTTTAGTAATAGCGGTATAGAGTACAAGAGTAGTGAAGTTGCACAGAACTTATAAAAGATATTAGTTAGACCTGAGCTGAAACATTCTACACAGTTTTGCATGCCACACTACAAAGACACCACAGATGCACTGGAGCAAGTGCAAAACAGGTTTACAAGACTGGTTCCAGTGATGAGAAACTTCAGTTACAGACGTTCTCAAAATCATGCGGGATGTGGACTGACTATATAATGATAAATTGTTCCTGCTGGTAGAAGGATTGACAACCAGATGACACAATTTTAAAGTCTTTTGTGAAGAAGTAAATGTGAAGCAGGACAGAAATTTTTCTCACAATGAGTGGTTTAGGTTTGGAATGAACTGCTTCGAAGTGTGATGGAGGCAAATCCAATTGAAGTATTCAACAGGGAATTAGATGATTATTTAAATACAAACAACATACACGGCTATCCGAAAAGGCAGGAAATTGGCACTGAGTCAAAATGTTCAGAGTGCCAATGCTGGTAAAATGGGCCATATGGCGTTCTTCGACACCTGAACAATTCTGACATTCTACTTAGCAATTTGTGGGGTTTGAAAATTTGCATCATATATTTTTAAAGACACAGGGTTTTCAAGCACTTAAAGGGTTCATGCATGATTAAAACATCTCTGTTGGGTTCAGGCAGCAAGCATTAAGAGAATGTCTATGCCATATTATTATTTTCCAGAAGTAAAAATAGTTCTAATTTGAAATTTTGTGGGAAAGCACAGTTTAGGAATGCGGCACACTCCCTGGAGAGTTTCAATGCCAAACACTCTGAGGATGGGCAGTGCTCCAGTTTATGGCAATGCTAAACTCTTGCTACATTGCTTGACTAAGAATATTTCTGACATTGAGCCAAATTATACATTACCTGCAGCCAACTTGCAGCTTCCCAATTTAGTTGAATTAAAGAAATCATGTACTAAAGTACCTAATTGTAATTGTAAATATCATCTTTTCAGCAACCACTGATCAACGGTAGGAAATGGAGATTGCCATCTTCAGTAAATATTAGCTCAGCTAACCAGATGATAAAAACAGCAACAATCTGAGGAATTTATGCTATTTAATCTCTATTAATACTTAAATTAAAAATAACAACTTGTTATTATGCTACATGCAGTTAAAAGACAAGTTAAATAGAGGTTAGAACTATATGCTGCTTGTGAAAATAACACAAGACAAAGCAAGAGAGTGGGCTCATTATTTATCATTGTGTATGACTGAGCAATGGTATGGTGTGAGGAGAGGACAATAAGGGACATCTCTTTGTTCAAGACATTTAAGACAGCTGTAATTTAACAATTCAAAGTAAACATCATTTGAGACCATCTCGGAAATGTGATTCCAGAAAATTTGGACTTTTCAAAAATTCTGTGTGAGGGTAAAAAGTATTTTTTTTTCCCCGGAGACATCTTATTCCTTAGCTCCTGAAACTCTACCGGATTTCAAGGGAAAAAAAGGTTCTAACTATGAAGTTTTTATTTTAAGATCAATATTTTTGTTAGTGGATTTAACTAAAAGTCAGCATTCTTGACTCATTTCAGAAAGCTGTTACTTTATTGACATGTATTGTGTTGGCTGATCCTGAGTTCTGGGAATCATTATGCAATCTTTTTCAAGACAGATGAACTATCATCGCTGTCACAAACAAAATGTAACTATTAATTTAAAGCCTTGTCTTATTGATAAATCAACTATTCTTTTGTTGTTCTGACAGATATAACATTTGTTACGAGGTTTTTAGTGTTCAACAACCACCCCCCCCCCACCCCGCTAATTGGGCAAAACTCATTAAAATGACTATGAAATGTTTCAGTCATTAATTCAGTCAAGTTGCAGTTAAATACCAAGTCATTTGACAAACCTTTCTAGATAGAAAATATAGCTATGCAGTAATTTCATAAGCATGAGGATGATTGGAAAGTTACTCCCTCAGACAAAAAACTACCAGCATCTTAAAGAAAAAGGAGGCCTAATGGCATTATCGCTAGACAATTAAAGCCAGAGCCCCAGGCAATATTCTGGGGACCAGGTTCAAATCCCAGCATGGAATTCAATAAAATAATCTGGATTTAAGCATCCAAAAGATATCAAATTGTCAATTGTCAGAAAAAAAAATCTCTGATTCATTAATGTCCTTTCAGGAAGGAAATCTGCCATCCTTGCTTTGTCTGAAATGTATACAACTCCAGATCCACAGCAATGTGGTTGACTCTTTACTACCCTCACAATAATTAGGGATGGACAATAAATGCTTGCTAGTGATGCCCACATCCCGTAAATGAATTAAAGAACAATTGTTATTGCTGCAAAGTATGTTTTCATTAGTCACTATGGTAAATGCAGTTACACATGAGAAGACAGTTTGAGATTAAACGGTAGAAACACAAATACAGAACAGTAAAACTATAATTTAGCTCTTTAACACTGATGTATGCACTCAAAGTGGTGAAAATTAGAGACAACATTTCATTTTTAAGTGGCCATTACTTCAATATGACAATTTGTGTGATTTTTAGTCAACAATGTATTTTAAAAAAAACTTTTATTTTGGCAATATTGAAAAAGAAGGGTAGATGGTGCTCTCAATGCTCCTGGAAACCAAAGCATCTCTCTCACCTTGAGGATGGGATGTGCCTGAGATTAGGAATGAAGCACATGGAAAACTGAGACTGCAAACTCTTGTCTTACCACTAGATATTAAAGGATATAGCAGCAGGACTCATAGAGAAAGGAGCTAGCTGTTTGTTGAGTGGTTAGGCCTTTTTTCTAAACCTTAAATTTTAACATAGTACACATATTGGTGATAAAGCGAATATATAGAAGTCATCACAAGTAAGGGAATAATACATAGAAATACTTAAAATTGATTAAGGATGACAGTTCAGGTGATGATTTAAGGTTGCAGCACATGAGAGTTGGGCATCATTGTACTCCAAAGCAAACACATCTGCAGTGTCTGAAGTTCAAGATGATTTCGGGGTATGTGCTGGCAGCTGAATGACAGACACTGCAATGCTTCAGGGAGGGAGAAAGTCATACAAAGTCCTTTTACTGGGAAGTCGTCAAACCACTTTGGACAGGGTCTGATTTAGATAGTGGTCAGGGATAGAAGGATGTCCTGAAAGGAGACCGAAGTGTCAGCCTTTGTAATTGTCAAATAGGTCTGATGTTCTCTCATCCTGTTTGGCTAACAGCAGGGTGGATGAACAATCTGATCATGGCACATGATACAGGAAGGTGGTGGGGTCAGGGGGGCATGTGTGTGTGGGATGGTGAGCCACATGAACTGAATTAGTAGGTGGTGTTAGTATAGGGAGGGTGTAAATCCATTCTCTGCAGCAAATTACTTAAATGGCAGACAGCTCAGTGCCAGAGTTTAGGATATCTGCTCAGGGTTGCATAGCAACTTGCAGGGCAAGGATTCATGGTCCATATAGGGACCAATGATACAGATGGAACCAGGAATGTGGCGCTGCACAGAGCTTGAGAAAATGGGCATGGAATTTAAAAGTGGTACCTCATAAGATTATGATTTCTGGTTTGTTGCCCGAGTCGCATGCAAACCAGCATGGGATACATAAAATTATAGAGATAAATAAACAGTTCAAAGATTGGTGTGGGAGAAGTGCATTCTGGTATCACTACTAGAGAAAATGGGGCTTGTACCATCAGTACAGTCTACAAATGAAACATGCCAGAGCCAGTGTTATTGGGAAGTAGTGGGGGACCAAATGTGGAAAGGTGTGATTCAACAAAGAACTGAAATAAAGTCAAAAGGGAAAATAGAAATATGGGAAATGAAGGTTAGTAAAGAGCAGGAGGGGGTAGAAAGGAAAAAAAAGACACTAGGAAGTCATGAGCAATAAATGTTGCAAAGATAACAAAAGGACAAAACTAAAGGCTCCGTACCTGAATGTGCATGGCATTCGTAAAGCAACTAAATTGATAGCACATTTGGAAATTAATAATTAGTATCTGATAGTTATCATAGAGGCACAGCTTCAACATGACAAGGATTGGGTCTTGAATATTGAGGGGTAAATGGCATTCAAGGAAAATAGGGAACTACGTGAAGGTGGAGGAGTAACGATGTAATTCAAGAATGAACTATGCAGTAATTAGAGATGTCTTGGTTCAAGAGATCACAATGTAGAATCAATTTGACTGGATACGAAGAATAGTAGGGAAAGGAAGTCACTAGATGGAGTGGTCTACAGGTTCTTTAAAATGGTAACCACAAGGTGGGACAAAGTATACAAGAGGAAAGACTAAAATGAAGCTAAGAACTGCAGATGCTGGAAATATGAAACTAAAACTGAAATTGGTGGAGAAACTCAGCAGATCTGGCAGCATTTGTGGATAGAAAGCACAGGCAATATTTTGGGTCCACTGACCCATGTTCAGACCTCTAGGAGTTTCTTTTACACTTCATTCCCATCCATTTTCTCTTTTTTTTTTGTAATATTTTCTTCCTCAGTGTTTTTCACAGGATCTTAAACTTCTGATAGCTGCAGCTTCTGATATTACTTATTGTTCTTTAAAGCCAATCAATCCATTTACTCCCTGTTGCAGTTTCCCTTTTTATCATTGAGCTATTCTATTTTCTGCTAAAGTCCACTACTTGGATGCCAATTAGGATCAAACAGGAAAACCTCATGGGGTCACCAAAGGCCCAATTGTCATTTTTATTTTTCTGTGTTATCCTTCAGACACAGTGCAAAAGAGTTCCAATTTTCATTTTTATATTGGCTTTAACAGGTGCGTGTGCACACATGCCATAGACAGATGACAGAAGCAATCAAAGCAGATTGGAAACCCCCATACTCTACCTTTGAGGCAACTGATATTTAGGTGGCACAATGCTACCAAACAGTAGGTGATAGAAGTAGGATATCAAGTACGTGCATGAAGTATGATGGTGGTTAAATAAGAGGAAGGTGCTGGTGTAAGTATGCAGTTACCCTTTTACTCCAAGAAAATCTATTGCAAGATCGGGGAGAGTTTATTTTCTTTTTTTTTTTAAAATGATGGTGAAACAGTTATTGATAGCTGGGTGAAAGTTGTGGTCATTTCCTTCACCTGTCTCTAAATATGCATAACGGCAAAAGTAGGACAGGTGACAATCTATAATGAAGATGGTCCTCATCACCAAGCGTAAAATTTCATAGCAGAAAGAGAAGCAACTTTAAGTAGCCAATATTAATTTCTAGGCTACACAAGGTGGTCCCTTAAAAAGGACTGCACCTAAATGACAGCTCTGGAATCAGTAATGGCAGATTTTTCTATGAAAATTTTATCTCTATTGAAACTGCTGTTGTGAAAGGAGGTTTAAGTGTAGAGCTCTCAAATTCATTCCTATTAAACAAACATTGCTGATCAGGTGCAGGTATTGAAAAATCCACATAGCACTACTTACAAGTGTATTCTGTGAGAACAAGTTTGGAACAAAACACTTGCCCATCTTAAACTTCTGGATCATATCATTTTTGGGAACTATTTTGAAATGAAACAGAGCTGGGAACAATATTCCTAAACATTTATGCACGTGCTCGATAAATCTCTGGTGTGCAAATAAAACATCTCCCTTCTTGCTTATTTATCAGATGCCTTCCTGTGGATCATGCAGTCTACATCCTCGGTTTTAGTTCTGAAACTTGAACCTTTCTTACTCTTCTTTCAAATTTCCTTACACTGCTGATCCTGCTCATCCCCCAATTCAAATTTCACCTTCATTTCTCTCCTCTTCATACAGCATCATTGAATAGCTACAAAAAAGGAGACGACCATTTGGCTCATTAAGTCTGCAATTCGTCTTTTCTGAAGCTACTTAACTGTTCCCACTGCCCGTCCTTTCACCCCATAACTGGGATTATCTTAGTGCTTAAAGAAGCTTGCACAATTCCTGTGAAATCTCTGACCGAATTGACTTCCACCAATAAAGTCCGAATTATTTTAATTTTCCTTTTTCTCTTCACAGTGAATGAAATGCTGAACCCGAGTTCCAGTGATGAGTGCATTTAATAATGTTGAAGGAAGAGTGCAGAAGGGGTTATAATACTGTGACCCTGTGATCTCCATTTTTAAATAAACACTGAAGTGGATTCAGAATATGTACAATTTAGTTAGAGCTGGGACTTGCAACAGATCGCTGACCAATCCAAATCATGCAACTATGTGAATTCACAAAGAATGGGACAGGGACAGGAGGCATTATTTATGAATTATCAGTGGAATTATCTAGGGCCTGCTGGAACTTAACCTTGCTGCAAGGTGATTAAGGTAAAAATTGAAGTTTCAAAAGAAAAATGTGCACAGTATCTGATGAAAGCAAAATGAATTATTCTGAAAGGAGAAAGAAGCCTTAGTATAACAAACAATGAATGACAAAAAATTAACAGACAGATGCAGCTGGCATTTATTTAATTCCTTTTAGTGACTAGTAAGTCTTCCACATTACTGCTCAATGGTAAATCAAAGCATATGCAGCCTAGAACAATAAGGACATGATCAACAAAATGTGATGGCAACTGTATGATTAAGCATGACTATTAATAAATTCAGAACTCTCTATTGGTGCTGCCCATGCTGAGTTGGTGGGTACATTTTCAAACAACATTGGGTGTTTGTATGTCATGGTAGGACATCACGGATTAAGAAAAATCCTTTTCTACTGGTGCTTTGCAAATTAACGGCATTTTATAAAAATCAGAAGTGATTCATTTCTTTCAGCAAGTGTTCTTCCATCTGTATCTTGAATTTTAGCCTTTTACTATTTTGGAAACTGACAGGAATGATTTAGAATGAAGGCGCATTTAATAAAAATTATCCAAGGAAATTGCACACATGAAGGAGGTTTCAAATACATGGAGGGACAGAGTAGGTGTTAGGAGTTTAGCACTAAGTGGTGCTCTGGTAAACTCTAATTTGTGGGAAGTAAGTTTCTGGAAAAGGTCTTTAAAAACACTGAATCAAATGTTTTAAACAGGTTCAAGAGAAATACTTGAATTTTTATAACAAAGAGGAACCAAGTGATGCAATGTGCAAATCTGTAAGAAAAAAAAATTGCTTCCTAAAAGTTTTATATATTTAATGTTTACGTTACCATTTCTGGAAGAATTAATGAAGAAACTGGAAAGAACAATATAGACAATAAAACTATATAATTCGACAGTGTGTAAAACATTCATTTTGCATTCGTCATACTTAACCCGATCATTAAATAGTTTGCATAATTTTAAAAACCAAATGCATTTAAGACATCTGATCTACTAAAAGTGAAATAATTCACAATTATTTGTTAGTTGGTGGGTATGAGTAGACAGGATTATTAAAAAAATACAGCTGTTATTGTTGCTGGAAGCAAATACTCATTCCCCAGCATTGGTTCTGTAAATATTGATTGCACAGTATATCTTTGTTACTATCTCTAAACTGTAACAATCAGAATGTGATTAGGCATGGCTGCACTCAATGTGGACAACATAAAATACGTCAGCACTTATCTATTGTTTTCAAAAGTCAGATAAATAGCCCATAATAAACATCTCAAGGTATGAAATGATGCAAAGAAAAAGCATTATTTTTGACCAAAAAGACAAGCAAGCAATATTGCATATGTTTTCTTGTTAAGCATTTTATACAGTAATTACAGAATTTGTTTGTCAAATAAATTGTCAGTTTTAAAAGTAAGGAAGTGACTCACGTTTCCAACCAGGGGAGAATAACGTACGTTGTCCAGCGAGCCACATTTTGGCTGAATATGGCTAAAATCAGGTTTTACATTTGCTATATGTACCTGGAAATGATAGGCACTTTACCAATCAATATCTACACACTAGTCATTCAGTGAGAAGATGCCCACTGTATATAATATTAGATACATACTGTTAAACACTTTATTATAAAAATGAATTTGATTTCCAATTTTTTATTAAATGCTTTAATCTCAATTGGGCTAAGAAAATATTCGACTATATTAAAAGCCACCAGTACTTGGCAAGTGGCTTCGAGTGATTATTTCTGCAGTTCAAACACAAACTTTTGTTGGAGAAAATCATTTCAAGAATGTGAAATTACCATTGCTCAAAGTGTTGAGCTAAAATTTCAATTTAAAGATCATTACATATAAAATTAATGTGTTCACATTTATAATGCAATGAATTGTCTAACAAATGACATTCTAAACCAACAGCACAGGTTTTAAAAATTATCACACCTTGCTTTTAAACGTACATTTACGAAAGTAATTGGTTTTAGCCATGAAACCTACATAAACAGCTTGTTCAATGATGTTGTAAAAATCAAATTAAATAAAAAGAAAATGCAGCATAAAAAGCTTCATGTGCGAATATAAGACAGCAATTAAGCTATCAAATTGATATACATAAACATGCGTACACACATACACACATCTACACACACACACACACACACACGTCCTCAAGCAACCAATACTTAACTGACATCAGGGCATAACGTTTTAGTTTGCTGTGACAAATTAGAATCTAAAAGCTGACTGGTCTACAAATAATTCCTTTGTGCTTTGGAATTCTAATACAACAGTTGATTAGATTAGGGCATGACACTGATTTTACAACGCAACATAACTTCCCACCTTCCTGTTCAATGTTGTCCAGTAATTGATCCAATAGAAGATTTAGGCGAGAAATCATAGCTCACCATTTTTCTCATCCTATCTCATAGCAGCAACCTAAAATAATTGACAGATACACTTTCCAAGGGAAGCTGAAGTTACACAGTACCAAATTTTAAAATACAATGATTTCATTAGTTTGATTTTTCTTTGCTTCTTTACAAATTCACAAACTAGCATAATTGAGTGGAGCTGGAATGTTATTTCTCACCGCAGGAACTATTTGGTTAACTTAATGAAAATCGTCATAATCTACCAATAAAAGGTTCATCCTATTATACATTATGCCATATTGACAAGTATAAATATAAGCAATCATCAATGCTACACAATGTCCATTTAACATTCTATTACAGGATTCACTTTTCTTAAGGACCAGTTACTTCAAAGATTATCAATTGTAACAAGCTAATTTGTGGGGTAACCGATTTAAGATTTAAATACATAATATATTGAGAATCTGCAATAAAGCAGAAAATGCTGGAAATACTCTGCATCACCGAAGCATCTGCAGAGAGAGAAGCAGAGTTAACGTATTAGCTTTGTAACCTTTCATCAAGCCCTGAGAAAGTCAGAATTATATTAGGTTTTGAGCAAATGTAAGGTGGGGGTTGAGAGAGGGGGCTTGAGAGGAATCCAAAAGGAATGAGGTGACTACAAGTCCAGGGTCACACTTGCCATTTGAATTCTCCACCTTACTTCCCACCTAACATTTCAGCCCTCAGCCTCCTGCAGTGCTCTCACGAAGCAGCACCAATCTTTTGCCTGGGCATTTGACAATATTTTTGACTTGTAAGAAAATGTGGAGTGCAGTAATTTTAGATTGTAACCTCCATCTCTATCTGACTTTGCTTTTCCTTGCTCTTTTCGGATATTTTTCTCTCATTTCTCATTTCTTTTCCTTTGCTTTGCTTCCAGATATTAGGCAATCATGGTTTTGCCATTCACGTCTCCTCTTAACATTTTGTTTCTTTACTTTGTCCTATTATTACTCCCTTTGGCTTTTCACTGTGAAACCAGCTGTTATTTAATCTCTCCTGCTTTCCACCCCATCAAAGCCCTTCCATTTTGCCCACCCTCCCTTTTCACTTGCTTGAAACCCATTACATTACCTATGTCACGAAATGGCTAAAAGACCTGAAAAATTAACTCCATTTCTCTCCACATTTGCTGAAAAATCGATTGAATATTTACAGCACTCAGTGTTCATTTTAAATCCCTTGCTCATAAAATAGGTTGCTTGTACTCGAATATTTTAAGTTTTAAACATTTGCAAAAAATTTCAAAACTATAATATCCAGTAGAGTCTTTTCTAATTTGACTTAAAGTTTCTGAGTACCTTTTCTTTCCTCTCAGGTAAAAGTTTGCACTTAAGTACTTACAGGATCATTCCCAAACAGTTATACTTTTTGTTTGCTTATTATTGTAGGCTCATGGCATTAATACAACTTCCTCTAAAAGTGACCAACTTGTGATAATTATTATAATCCCACAATAATCTTCATCGAGTTACACAGAAATTAAAAGACTTGGTTTCCAACAGATTTTTAAAGGGGTTCATTCGTAGATCACAGTCTCCTCTTTGGCATGTCAGAGAAAGTAGATGTCATACAGTCAGTATACTTAATAGACAAATTTTAATTACATTGATGATAAAATTAACAATTGCTCAATTTTCCTTCCTTAGCAGTGGATTTTAATACATGTGAAGAACAAATATGTACAGGGTCTATCGATTACACAGTGTAAATGCCAACTTGAAGGTCGTCATAACAGGTGTAATTGAACTATGGCTAAGAAAATGAATCGCTCTTCTTATTGCCTCAGGCAGCAGGACATGGGATTTAGGAATAGGATTAGGCCATTCATCCTTTTGAGTCTGCTTCACTATTCCACATGATCGTGACTGATCTTAGCTGTAGTCTTTTCCACTTTTCCATCTGTCCCATCACTAACCATATAGCCATTCACTTTCTATCTATCAAAAATCTACTGCATTTTGCTTTAAACAACCAGCCTCCGTTATCTTCTGGGAAGGGATTTCTACAAAGCCACAACCCATTGAAAGAAACCAAGATTCTTCTCACCTTCACCGTAAAAGGGAATCCTCTTATAGTCAGTCCCAAGGTAATGAAGAGATTCCGTTCTGGAATCAGTTTACAAGACGATTTGTATGCAAGTTGGAACACAATGCAGGATAATAAAAGCCACTCGTTAAATGATCATATGTCGTATCTTTAAAATTACACCCGAGATTGCATTTGTAAATAAACGCATTTGTAAGTTGGATGTTCATAAATCAGGGATCCCTGTACCCTTAAACAGTGTCCTGTAGATCATGTTAGTTTCACAAGAGGAAATATCCTTCCTGTATCCACCCTATCAAGCGCCCTCAGAACCTTGTGTGGTTTAATTAGATCACCTCCAGTCAAAAAAATCTCAATTCCAAATCAAATTCTAGTCATTCTCAAGCTCACTCTTAGCAAGTGTTAACAGATCAATGATATGTGGGTGCAGAGACTGGGGAACAGAAGACAGTTTCAGGCCAGGTGGTCTGTTTTCATGCCAGTTTGAATGCCAAGTAATTTTCTATGATGTGAAATAACAAGGAGGTAAATTTTACTGTGTCTGTAGGAGAAATAGCACTTGACTGAAGTTGTAAAATGAAAATTGTTTTAGATAAACCAGTTTGGATTTTTTTGAGTTTGTAACCAAGAGGGCAGCTACATGGCAACCAGTTACTGTAGCATGTGTGGATTTCCAAAAAGCAGTTAATTAGAATGCAAGACTTTATGACAAAAAATTAGATCTCAATGGATGGGTTAAGGATTGATTCAAGGTCTACAAAGAGAATGGGGGAAAAAAAGGATCATTTTCAAGTTAGTTGGATACCTTCAGAATCAATACTGGAGACTTGTCTGTGATTATAATCAAATGATTTAAATGAGATGACCAAGTGTCATGTATCCAAGTTTGTTGATGACACAAAGACAGTTGGAAATGCAAGCTGTGAGGAGAACACAAGGAAACTATAAAGGGATACATTGTGGAGATGAGAGTTTGGCAATTAGAATATACTGTGGGCAAATGTGAAGTTATCCACTTTGATAGGAAAAATAGAAAAGCAAATTATTTTTAAGCGGTGAGATTTTGGGAAATGTTGTTACTCACAGTAGCTTGAGTGTCCTTTTACAGAAAGCAGAACAGTAATATGCAGGGATTTAGGAATGCCAACGGTATGTTAGGCAATGCAGAGTGATTGGAGTACAAGAATAGTCTTACTGCGACTGTATTGAACATTTGTGAAACATGGAATATTGTATAAAATATGTCAAAGAAAATAAACTTGCTTTATAGGGGTATGTAGCAGAGGTTCACTTGAGTGATTCCAGGGATGACTAGATTGCCCTGAGAAAGCGATTTCATAGCCTCAGGTTATATCCCCTACAGTTCAGAAGAATGAGAGGAATCCAAAAGGAATAAGGTGACTACAAGTCCAGTTCATCAGTTTATACTAAATTCTTGAGGGCTTGACAAGGTAGATGCTGGAAGTAAGTTTTCCTGTTTTAAGCTTCAAGTGTTATGACTTTTTTAAAAAGCAACAAATGCTTCCCACTGAGTACATTCAAGTCATAGATTCATAGCTGATGAGATAATATGGGAATGAAATGACAGGGGAATAATGGGGAAATGGAGAGCTGACACTGATTAAGCATAATCTTGATTATACTGAATGGCAGAGCAAGGCTCAAATAGCTGAATGGTTTACTCCTGTTCCAAATGTATGTCCTTAGGAAATCCAGCTGCCACGGTTTAGCTCACTTGCTTAACCTATCAATGTCTTCGCAATTTAATGTTCACATCTAAACTACGAATGTTATCAACTTCAGTGCCATCAATAAATTTAGATACATATGCTTTAATGAGTTATCTAGGTCATTAATAAATGTAGTGAATAGTTGAGACTCCAACAGAGATTCTGTGGAATGCCACTAGCCACTTCTTCCATTTTGACTAACATATCTATCATATCTGCTCTCTATTTTATTCTGTCTAGCCAATCTCCTCACCAGATCAACCATTTGTCTTAATTCCATGAACTTTAATTCTGGTTAACATTTGCTAATGCCAAAGTTTTATATAAGGAAGTTTATGTAAACTACATTCATAGACATTGTAATTTCATACTACTTTAGTTACTTCCTCAATAAATCACTCAATAAATCACAAAATATGTTGGTTCTAATACTGATCACTAAATCCTCAATAAACCCATTCCTTAGCACAAGTATTCTCCCTCTCTAACAACTCAACCTTGATAACAAGGCTTGTAAGCTACAGTTTGAATAAATGTTTTGAACTACCTCAATGTAGCTGTAAGGTTTGCAAGGGCTTACAGTGACCTCCTGCTAAAAGGGCAAAGTGGTTGCTTGTAGCAATTAGTGTTATATAACTTTGATACACGGTAATGTTGGTTCTTCCTCGTATTGTCAGTCTTTGGAACATGGTGAAACATTTCCCATATGATTCCAGTACTTGCAAGACAAGGTACGGCTAGGATTTTTTTCCAGAAATGATTATCTTCTGGAGATGGTACTCTGGAGTGACAACCACCTCTTGTTCCTATCTCAAAAGCCAGATATTCTACTCCAACAGTAAAACAAAACATTGGGAACTTTATATTTCTGCCACTTACCCCCTGTTGTGCCTCAATACAGCTTGAATTTAAAGGTTATCCACTACTTCTTTACTCCTTTTGTCCATACAGATTTTAAGAAAGGAAATAAATACTTAGAAGCTATTTTGATTCCTTGTAAGGCTCCAGAATATTCATTCTCTCTATGCAATTAGTTGTCTTTCATTCCATGCTGGTTACGTGTCACAAAATATGTTGGTTCTAATACCGATTGACTGCACAGTCTCCATGTGTCACTCACTTAAGAGATAAGCGACAATTGTAAACCAATGCATAACAACACTGGACTGAGCTAGAGCAAGTTGTGAGGCTTCATTGTAATACTTATTGTGAAGTTTTAAAAGGTACAAATTTAATTCCAGAATTCATAATTCAGTTAAAGCTAGTTGTCCTTCTTGGCCGAATGCTGATTGCAACCTCAACACTCAATTTCTTCAGCAAAAAACTTGTGACAACTGGTTATGTTGCCCCTTTAAATTAGACACTGCAAGTTTTATTACCAGACTCTTCTATTACCAGATATATAACTTTGCATCCAGCACTAGTATTATAATGGACAATCATCTAAAATTAGGATATAATTTTCAAGAAAAAAAATGTCATGCTGTCAATTTAAAGTTGTATTTGTTTTCCAAATAAATCTTTGAATTTTGAGTATTTCTATCAAATCTCTCATTTTTATGGAAGTGGTATTCACATCACATACCTGGCCTCCTCTTGGTTGATGCTTTAGGTTGTCAATTGAACCAATCTTGGATTTGATATTTTTCAGATCTGGCATTGGCTGGTTGATCACTCGGAGTTGCTTTGGAGTAAGGGGAGATTTTGGAGGAGTGCGGATAATTGCCACTTTCCGTTCTGTGGGCACAAGGATGGGAGATTTGTGTGTACCAGGAGTACCAGGAGTGCGGGGGGTCCTGCTGCCTGGTGTACGGGAATAGCTGGGTGGTGTGCCAGGTGTGACTGCAGTTGATCCAGGAGTGGAGGGCGTCGCAGTACCACTTCTTGCTGATCTGGTGCGAGTTGGTTCAGACCCTTTAAATACATATACATAATATATATATAAAGAATACATATTTATACATAAAGAAATAGCTTAGCCTTTATACATACCTCAATACAGAAATATTAATCCAGCATATATAAAATATAGAAAGGATAACATATTAATGCATATAGTGCAACACAACTTATTTTGTAACAGTGACCAACTAATCAAATAAGCATTTTCCGCCTCTAATACACAGCCTGACATCATAAAAATACTGGAAAAACCATACTCTCAAGACTGTCTTTGGACATTCATTAATGGTCTAAAAGATATTTACTTATTAAATTATGAAAAGGTCACTTCAAGCCTGTTCACCCTTGTGCAGATTTGAACTTTTATTATACATCTAGTCATGGTTCTGAATGTTTCACTTAAGTTATATCAAGTGTGTCATGCATGACATAGTTCATAAATTTTACAAAGAGTTCAGTAGGCACAAAGCCACCATTGACTAGGCTACCTGCACTAGTATGCGCTCGCGATCTGGTCACTCCTTGGCCCTTTTGATCGTTTCTAGGTTCGGTCCTTATAGCTATAATGGGGCAGACGTGAAACACAGAGAATGGATAAGGACATTTGAGGCAAGTTAATAGGAACAAAAAAACTGACTTTCAAAATATTTTGAAAATGATTTTTATGCTTGCAATAGAAGTAGCATGTGCTATTTGCCGTTAATTTTACCACTTAAGTAATAAATAATCAAAAAACTGCTAAAATATAACTATACATGCTTTGTTGGTTAATTCAACTTAACAATCAAGTAAGTTTTTGGAATTAGTGCCATAGTTTAAATAATTAATTGGAGAGATAAGTTAAATTTTAATACACAGCAATAGAAGCATATTGAATCAGCTCTGTAAAATGTATTAACTGCCATTTTGACCCTAATGAAATAGATACCTTCAATATCAATTAACTGTAAATTAGAGAAAATCAAATTAATGTGCTTTGGTCCTGTGGTACTATCTTGTCCTCCTTGAGCTATGAAAACCCAAATATTTAAGCAACCTTCAATAAATAGGAATATTTTATACTTATGTATTTGTTGCCATTGCTCGATTTGAATTAAACACATTTAAAGATGCTCTGGGGGCACAGAGAGTGAAACATTACATTTGCAATGTTTCTTAGATCATGCAAATAAATATCATGTTCGCTGTTTTCCTTTGCGCTAATTATCTACGTTGAGTCGTGTCGAAAATAGAGGATTTTTCTTGTTCAGACTCTTGATCTTGTTGATCTAGGTCCAAAGTGTGCATGCAGAAAAAGCAGTAAACTTTTATGGTTTTCCTCCAGAACACTTAACATTTTGTGCATTGAAAACACTACTTCAGGGCACGTTGTAATCTTAAGGATAATTAAGAAAAAAGACAAAAACTAACTTGTTGGTCGTCTCAGTGCCGGATAAACTGGGCTTGTAGCAGGCACGAAATGCGCATCTTTTTCTTCAGGTGGAGCCCGGCGGGTGGATAGAATTGAAGAAGGTCGGGGTAGGGAAGAGCGCTTCTCTGGACTCCTCATTGCAGCATCCTGCAGAGAGCAAATTGTGTTATTACCATCTAAATCCTGTGTATATGCTTCTTTCCAAAGCAGTGACCTGAGAAAGGGAAAAAAATTCCATGCATTTGCAAATCAACTCTAGAATTATTCAACTGAAGAAAAATTGCCTATTCAAGTTATTCTCCGAGAATAAATAATTCCTCAAATTGGAAATTCTCCTTCAAACCTCACACGTAATACATTGAGATTTCAAGGTGTTATTAGCTCTCTCAGTTCCAGCTAGTTCAAAACACACTACTAAGGAGGAACTAGTGAATTCCACAGTACAGTAAATTTCTGAAAGTTCGCATATTCGCAAGGACCTGAATCGAAGAAAGTAAAAGGAACGGATTTCTGTTTAGTGCCATGCAGTGCTACCAGAATTCTTAAATAATTTTGCAGATAGTTTCCTGTTAGTTCAGCAGAGATTACAGATATTCGTATCATATACATATGGCAACATATTTTACTGCACTTCTTGAAACACATTGAATCTTCCACTTTAAACAAAACGCCTTCAGCAAAATTTCAACAAAATTAAACCATTAAAATATTTAAAATATTAAAATATTAAAAATGTGTATATTTTAAAAGGAAAAAAAAACCTATTTTCGACCAAGAATTATTATTAATCAGTTTCGTGATGTAATCAAAACAAATTCAGATCTCTTTGCCCTCTTCCTTGTTCAGAGATTTGCAAATAACATATTTTCAAGCAACTGCTACTACAGGCTACTAATTGTTTTACCAAAATATCTTTTGAAAAATCTGCTGTAAAGGATCCCTAGTTTCAGAATAACAGGAAACCTCATGGTGCAGGAGGGGCTATTTGGCCTGACATGCATAAGACAACTGAAAGAGTTATTTGGCATAATCTTATCTTCCAGCTTGATCTGGAGCCACATAGGTTATACCAACTTCATTGCATAGTCAAGTTAAAAAATATGAGGTTTTCTGCCTTTGCCACCCTTTCAGGCAGTGGGTTTCAGATTCGCACCACTCATTGAAGTAGAAAAAAGGATCACAACACATCTAACTCTTCCACCAATTATTTCTATACCCCTCATTGTTGGTTTCTCTGCTAATTAAAATAGATCATTCCTATCCAATTTATCTTGACCTCTAAGTTTTATTCATCTCAAGTAAATATCTTTTCAGCTTCCTGCGTTCAAGAATATTAAACTCAAGTGTGTTTAAACTTCCTTCACAGCTAAAGTTCGCCAAACCTGACAACACCCTTGGAAATTTCCTTTATATTTTCTCTCTAATGCAATGATCAGTCTGTACACTTTACTTTAATTGTAGTTTAACTGGTGCTCCATACTGGTTTAGCATGAATCCATTATGCTAGACACTCCCTGCACTTACATTCTATATCTTACCTAATAAAAGAAGCTTTCCATTTTATTTGTTTCAGACATTTAAAGTCTGCTATCCCTTCATTTTCGCTCTATATCCACAAAATATATGTTCTTGCTACTACTAACTGATGACCAAATCCAAAGGAAATAAAGATATTTGAATATATACACATGCACAAACACATACATAATACGTATAAATAAAACAATATACTTATATGTTAATCAATTATTCCATGATTTGTCTATCAGGTGATGACCATTTAATTGGTACATGTCAAAGTTAAATTTCTTTTCTGGTTCTGAAGAAAAAAATGTAGCCACTAAATGACTTCCAAAATCTATCTTGTTCCGATGGTATACGGAGAATTAAGAGTAATGGACTCCAGGTAAATCTGCATTCCAGCAGGATTTGAAATATCTCTGCACTGTACTGAAAAATGTATTGATAAAGGAATGTTTACCTAAAGCAGTTATCAATTTTCTTCAATGTGTTTGCTAGAAAAGTGATGTTACTGGTATTCCTATAATTATAAACCATTGAGAGGGAGGTTCAATGAGATTCTCTCAAAAACCTAGCTTACAAAACCATAAAATGGATTTAATTGCTTATTTTATTGTATAGCACAGCCAGTTAGTTTTCACAAAAATAGAAATAAACAAATTATCACTGCAGATATTCATGAAATAATACTTAATAAATTTCGATTACAGAATGGTTAAAACTCAGGAGGCCATTCAACTCATTAGTCTGAGCCAGTTCTCCACAGGCGCAATTTACCTTAGTCCACTCTCCTTTCTTTGCCTCATACATTGTTATTTAGAAAGAATGAATGTACAATGTAATTCCCTCTTGAATGCCTTGAATAAACCAGCCTCCACCACACTCAGAGGAAGTGCATTCAAAATCCTAGACACTTTTTGAAAAGATTTTTTCCTCATGTTCATGTTGCCATTGCTTCATTTGGCAATTACCTTGAAACTGTGCCCACTTGATCTCAATCCTATCACCAATGGGAACATTTTTTTGCTTATCTACCGACATAATTCCTCGGCCCTGAGGTGATTGTCCTTGATGTTTTGTGCGGGTTCTCTAATGCCTCCACATGATCTTGAAAGGGTGGTGCCAGAACTAAATGCAACAGTATAGATTGAATCAGTTTCTACATAAGTTTCGCATAACTTTCTTGGTTTTATGCTCAATGATCCTATGACCTAGAATGTTTTGTACTTTAACATCTGCTCTGTCAATGTCTCCTACCACCTTCAATGATTTATGCACATATACGTGCTAGTCCCTCACTCCTCTGCCTCCTTTAAAATAGCACCTTTTAGCTTATATTGGCTCGCCTATGTTCTCCCTATCCAAATAAATCACTTCACACTTCTCTGCATTGAGTACATTTGCCATTTGTACACCTATTCCATCAGCCTATGTTCTTTGAAGTTCTGCACTGTCTGTTCACAGTTCACAATGCATCCACGCTTCAAATCATCTTCAAAGATTCAACATTTTAGCATGGGTGTTAACCATTTTTAAATAACCTAAGTGGTATCTGCATTAAGTCAGGAACTCTATTTTATTTGCTATCACCAAAAGCAAAATTTTAGATCAATAAGTTACCTAGAAGATATGACACCCTCTTATGACTGAATTAGAACAGAGTACACCTTTTTGAAGGCAGCAAATAATTTCTTCACTAAACATTTCCCGCCCATATGGCATCACTTTTTTTTAAATTTATGCAACACCTGTGTACCTATCCATTTCTGTTAAGTTAGTGTAAAGACTTTCCTTCATTAATTTACATAATCTACATCAGCGGGGGAATCTGTCGCATTAAATGAGAGCTTGAGTACAAATGTCACAAAAATGCAAAACATATTTGTTATTTTAATTGAGTGGAAAATAGCAACTTTTTTTATTAATTGTTAAACCCATGTATGTAGATAAAACAGCTGGCTGAATACTAAAAATGTAACAATCTTAATATTTCAACGTATTTTAACAGTGACAGATAACAATAAAGAAGTGAATTAAATTAGCATTGCTGCATTTCCATTCTAAGTTGTAATATTCAAATGTAAGAAATAAGACCACTGATACGGACCATTTCTTCATCTTACCTTTCTTACGGGTTGCTCAGTCAATGAATCCCTACGGCCAGCAGACGAGGGTCGTGTGGGATAATAATCTAGGTCAATAAAGGCTTTTCTAGCAGCAGAACAAGTAGAATTGGGTCTTTCAGGGAGGAGGGAAGATAATTTTGAGGTAGGAATCTTTGTTAGTGCAGATGAATTCTTTTCATGAGAAAATATAAAGTAAATTAGAAAAAAAAAGATAAGACAATGAACATAAAATGGATCAAAATACTGAAATACATTAACTTAAATGACTAACATGAAAATGCATGCCCTAATATTCTAATGAATTCATCTAGACACATTGCAAATAATAACCACTTTAAAAGGTTCTGAGATTATTCTGTAACCTCAACTAATCATTTTTGATAATTGAAGAGCACAAATTGTTTTGTAGAATTTGATGAACTATACAGAAAGTGATACAATTTTAACACTACTGTCTATTTCTATAATTACCAAGGTTTGAGAGATCCATTTTTACAAACTGTTATAGTAAGGATGGCTATTTTATAAGTTATCTTCAGAAGCACTTTTGTTGTATAATCTGCTCAAAAAAATCAATACAATAACAAATGTTATGGCAGAGCACATACTGAAATTGTTTTCTACTTTTTCAAATTTAGAAATTTTCCCAATTTTGGGTGAATTAATAAATGTAATGTATTATAAGGAAGCACTTTTCTTTTGTATAATATGCTCATGCTGTGTGCATGTTTTATGATCTAATGCTGTTATGAATGGAGATTTTAATTTTATAGTTTATTACTATGAGCTGCCAAATGCTCGGATTTCTTTAAACAATACACCATAATGGTGAGTTATTAATGGCTATTATATGGCAATACTTCTGTATCCTGTTACTAACAATTTATCACACTGAGTAAACAGTGAACACAACAATTGTTATTATAGTGAGTTAACATATGTTAGGAAAGCATACCATTCTTTTGCACTAAAAGAAATGATGTGTGGATTCTCCAAATCAAAATGGAAAAAAAAACACAAACATTAAATGTATGATGTAATTTTCTTCAGTTCCTTCACTGACAGAGAACAGCACTCAAGATAAGTGCTTGAAAAAATATTTAAAACCTTAAAAAAAAAATGCAACATCCTGTCTCCAGAATTTTACATTAAAATGCCTTAAAGACATTTTATTTTGCTTGCTTTGTCATTTATTACTCTGATTTCATGAGAAATAATTTTAATGCATGATCATCAATTCTATTTTAAAAAGCCTTTGATAGGAGATGAAAACTAAGTCAATTTAACCACCTGGTTCATCATGGGCCAAACAAGGTACCCCTAACTTGTCCTAACCTCCTCGTATGCAGCCTCACAATGTTTTGAGTCCTCACTGTTGGAGAACAGGTACAAAGAAACTCTGAATGAGCAGCATGGTCAACATTGCAATTCATCATATAACACACCAGTGCATTGCCATAATTTTCACGATCACTGCATTCACATTTCATCAGATGGTGATTCCACTAGTTTGGGGTTTAGAAATTCAGCAGCTGATAATATCATGTGTGTAACTCAAACATGGTAGGCCTTACGGCACCAACCTGCTAACAGTTTCACCAGCTGTCATCCCAAACTTCTGCCATCAACAATGCAACACAATTCAGGTTGGCAGATTAACAGTTATGCACAAAGCGTGGTAACCCTAGATCTTCTCGACCCTAACACAGTTTTCAAGTACCAAAATAAAAACAAAGTTGCTGGAAAAGCTCAGCAGGTCTGGCAGCATCTGTGGAAGAGAAAACAAGAGTTAACGTTTTGGGTGCGGTGACCCTTCGTCAAAACCCTTTCAAGTACCAGTTTCTTTCATCAATTGCGTCAGCCACAAACCTGTGGTTAGGTCTTCAGTAGCCATGTAATTCTGCAATGGGACTAATTCTAGGTCCAGGTCCCCAGGACACATAATTAGCATTTCTTAAAATGTTAGAAAATTACCATTATAAAAAATGATGCAAGTTCTTAAAAGCCTTTTCCCATCGGCATTCAAACAAACTAAAACACTGCTTGCGAACTCCAACATGATAATTTGCAATGATTTAAATTCCCAGATTTATTTTAAATTGTAGGAAAACTTTACCAGCTTTCACTCAGGAAATACCTACTCCTGGAACAGTTTGATTGACAGGACATCTGGATTTTCAGTTTCAATAGTCATTATTGTTTGCATTTCCCAGGATTTGTTATTACAGCCGAGTTCTTTACGAGTGCTTGGCTGAGTTTCAAAAGCTCCCGAATCACTTACTTGGGAAGCAGGTCACGTATTCATTTTGATTTTCGATTTTAAGAGATTAGTAAAGTGTTAGCTGTCTTTGATATGGTTAGTGAAATCGATCTTTATTTAAGCAACAGACTGATCACGAGGGAACTTAATTATTTTTAAGATTTAGTTTAATGCATGTAAGATTTTCTCAGCACAAGATATTTCTGAGTCAGACCTCTAGTAGATGTTAAAACTTCATCACCATCATTTCAAAGATAAGGTTTCGGATGTCTGTCCACTAGGGAGAATATATTGAGATGGGGGTAGCATGAGAAGATGAGGCAACATGGAGGTACCATGTGGAATATGAGAATAGTGAAGACAGAGTTTCAGAGCTAGACAACCAACACTAAAATTGTGCTGATGTCTCAGTAATTGGAGACATGTATTTTAGCGTTCTGACTTGACTATCCATCTGTTTCCATTGTCCCCTCAACCTTGCCTTAGGCCTCCTGCTTTGTCATCACTAAGAATGGAGATACTCATGGACTCTTAACTAATTGTCCGCCAAAGACCAGGACTAGATGATTGATCATCATTTGGCAGAAATGCAGAGACCTTTGCTCTGAGCTATTGGCTGTAGGATTGTTCAGTTCTTTATACAGAATGCAGCTTCTCAATGCACTTAGTCTTGCTTTGCAGATTCACCAGGTTAAAATGTACAAACTTATGAAATGGAAGTGATAGACAATACAGTCCCTCAAACCAGCTCCACTGTTCAATACAATCATGACTGATTGCTGCTCAATTCCATTTTCACATCTGCTCCCAATAATTCTTTGTTCCCGGAAAAATCAGTCTGTCTCAACTTTAAACATATTCAATGGTGGAGCTTCTACAACTCTTATCGAAAATTCAAAAGAGACAACCCTTTGTGTGAAGAAATCCTCCTCATATTAGCTCTATGGGATCAGGCTCCCATCCTGAGTCTCTGTCCCAGATTCCCCACTTGGGGAAATGACACACAACTTTCTACTTTTGTCAAGCTTCTTTACAATCTCCTGTGCTTCACTGAGATCACTTCCCATTCTTTGAAATTCCAGAGAGTATAGACCCTATTCACTCAGCCTGTCGTCATACAACAATCCTCATATCCCAGTAATCAATTGAGTGAAGCTTCATAGTACCACCTTCAATACAAATAAAGCCTTCCTAAAATATGGAGACCAAAACTGCATATTGTATTCCAGAAGTGATCTCACCAAAGCTCTGCAAAATTATATTTGCCACTTTCTTTTATGGTGTGCCTGTGTGCTAATTTTCCGTATTCCTCGACAGCACACCCAAGTCTCTCTGAACATTAGCATTTAGTAGTGTTAGAAGTGTTTAAAAACGTTAAATCTTTTTAAATGTTCTGATTTTCTGATCATACTACTGAAACAAATAACTTAATTTCCCATATTATATCCAACTGTCAACTTGTTGTCCATTCATTACACTTGTTCATATTTCATTGCAACTTTATGTACTCACAGCTTCCATACCTATTGAACTTCACAAGGTCAGCAAACATTGACACAATGGATCTGTCTCTTCTTTTAAATCATTAATATAGATTATAAATAGCTGAGGAACAAGCACATGCCACACTTCATAAGTTACAGCCTGTCAACCTGAAAATGCTGTTGTTCCCTATTCTCTACTTCCTGCCCCTTAAAGAATCCTTATTCAATGCTAAGCTGAGCAAGTGGTGCAATGTAGGCATGTCGGGCTCGTAATACACAGGTCAATGCATTCGAGAATATATGAACTGATTCATTTTGACAGAAGGAATATAGAATATGAACCAAATGGCATTTTTCCAAACAGCGTGCAAGGACAGAGAGACACCCTGGGGATTCAGCGGCAGTGGCAAGATCTTATGAGAAAGTAGTGAATAAATTAGATGGGTTCTTGGGCTCCATAAATAGAGGTACTGAGTACAAGAAAAGGGAGTTTTCCCCTAAACCTGTAGCAAGCTCTGGTTAGGCTACAACTCAAGTATCGCATCCGGTTCTGCTCATCACATTTTTGGAAGAGTGTGAGAACCCTCAGAGAGAACAGAAGACATGTACTATAATGCTTCCAGTAGCGAAAAAACCGAGCTACAAGATTATGTTGGAACAGTTGTGTTGGTTCTCCTCGGAGCAATAAAGATGGATAGGAGATTTGATTGAGGTGTACAAGACTACAATAAGTTTAGACCAGGAGGGGCACCCATTTGGACAATGAGGAGATGAGTTGGAATGGATCAGAACTTTAAGTGTTTGCAGGTTGGTGGTGGTGGTGGTGGTTGTGGGGGCGGTGAAGAGGGAGGGGTGGAGTTAGCGGCCATGTTACACCTTGAGATTTTCTCCAATGGACCTAGATGGCCAGTTAAGTCAGGATGCTCACTGCACACCTCAGCAAACTAGGCAAAGGGTACCTGATGGTCTAGGCACTTAGCCTAGGCCTCTCGTGCTGCCAGGTAAATGGCAGCAGCAGGATGGCATCTTTAAATGGACAATACATTGTGGGTACCCAAAGCTACCACCCACCACTGGTATAACTGCGGTGGTGGGAAGGTGCTGACAGGTCACCTGTGAGATTAAACATGCCCACTCACCTTCAAATTGTTGGCAGGGTGCGTCAAACTCAGCCAAGTATTTCAGCCAAGAGACTATGCTCAAAGCTATGTGTTCTTGTCTTGTATATTAACATTTTGTATAGCACTTTTTTTGAATGCCTTTGGAAAATCCAGGTGAATTCCCCTTTAGCTACTACTTAATTGCACTCTCAAACCTCATATATGCGAAACTTCATTTCTCTTGTGAAATCATGCTGACTTTGTCTAATCAAAATGTGACTTTTGATTTGTTAACACTATCTGATTAACTGGTCTGTAATGATCTAA